TTCTAGAATTTTTTTATCAATACCTATACTTGTTTCTTATGGTTATCATGTTATGTTTGGACCTTCGTTTGTTAGTTTGCACTTAAATAATGTTGTGGTTGGTAATGATATTTTAGAGGATGATTTATTTAAATTATCCCTAGATATATCGTTTGAAACATCTTTGTTATCCCTGCATGATAAAGAACATTTTGGATTGAAACGTGACATTTTAAATGAAAATTCTTCCACCCTATGGCACAAGAGATTATGATACATCTCCATAAGGATAGGTAAATAATGGGATCTTAACAAGCCTTAAAGTTACAGATTTTGATATTTGAGTAGACTATATTAAGGGTAAACAGACTAACAAGTTTAAGAAAAGTGTCATAAGAAGCTTAAATGTGTTGGATATCACACATACAGATATTTGTTGGCCATTCTCAACCTCATGTTGTACAAGCCATAAATATTTCATCACTTTCATAAACGACTTCTCACAATACGTTATCTTTACCTCTTGTTTTATAAGGACAAAGCCTTAGATGCTTTCAAAATCTTTAAAACAGAGGTAAAGTGACAACTTGATAAAAAGATCAAAACTGTGAGGTCGAATAGGGGTGTTGAGTATTATGGTAGGTATACTGAATCAGGACAACACTTGGGTCCATTTGCTCGATTTCTACTGGATAAGGTATAGTGGCACAATATAACTCCTCTTTTTGGCCTAGTTTTGACGATTTAGTGAAAATCATTGGACTGCTTGCTTAGGGAAACATAAGACATCCCTCAAAGCCCCCATGCTATTTATTCCTGATCAAAGTGGAGTAGCTGAAAGGTAGAATCAAATACTAATGAATATGATTAGGAGTATGATTAGTTACTCCACTCTCCTAGTTCTTTTTGGGGTGATGCCTTGAAAACCGTCGTGTACATTCTAAACAAGGTTCCTACTAAGGTTGTCCCTAAAACACCTTTTGAGTTATGGACCAGTAAAAACCCAATTTAGCACATCTATACATATGTGGTTGTTAAGCTGAGGCTCGGGTGTATAATCTCCAAGAGAAAAAGTTGGACCTTAGAACCATAAGTTACTATTTCATTAGTTATCCCGGTAAATCCAAGGGATACATATTTTATTGTCTTGACCGTTCTCTACGGATTGAAGAGACATGGAATGCAAAATTTCTTGAAAATGACCAAGTTAGTGGGAGTATACAACCTCAAAATATTATTTTTGAGGAACATCAAACTCCAATTTCTATGCAAAGTTCAGTTGGTAATGATTCCTCCTCCTATTATTCATAATGATTTGATGGAGGGTGAGTCAACTATTAATGCACCATCGGTAACTGAACTAGCTATCATTGAGATTCTTGCGTCCCCTACACATGTATTGGGGCAAGAAAAAACTTTAAAAAGGTCATCAAGGGTTAAGAAATCTGCAATTCCATTTGATTATATTGTGTATCTTAAGAAGTCCAATTTTGATATTGGAAAGTGTGATGATCCAACTACTTTCTCACAAATCATGAATAGTTTGAATTCCTCCACCTGGTATGATGAAATGAAGGAAGAGTTGAACTCAATGGATAAAAACAATGTTTAAAATCTAGTTGAACTATCTCCTGGTGCCACGGTCGTCACCTGTAAATAGGTTTATAAGACCAAAAAAGACTCTAAAAAAAAGGTAGAATGACATATGGCCAGACTTATAGCCAAGGGGTTCACTCAAAAGAAAGGCATCGATTACAATGAGACTTTTCCACTAGTTTTTAAGAAAAACTCTCAGAGGATAATTATGGCAATGGTGGCTGATTTTGACTTAGAGCTTCACTAGATGAAAGTGAGAACAACTTTTCTTGATGGTGGTCTAGAAGAAGAGGTGTAGGGTTTTGTTTCAAAGGGGCAGAGTCATATGGTTTGCAAGCTAAATAAGTCTATATGTGGCCTTCGACAGTCCTCCCATCAATGGTATCTTAAGTTCAATGATGTGATTTCTTCATTTGGTTTTGTAGAAAATGCCTTTGATCATTGTATATATCTTAAAATCAGTGGGAGCCAATTAATTTTTCTAGTCCTATATGTAGACGATATTTTGCTTGCTAATAGTGATTTGGTGTTGCTTATTGAGACTAAACATTTTTTCTCTAGTCGTTTTGAAATGAAGGATATGGGTGAAGCCTCGTATCTCATAGGCATAAAGGTTCCCGGAGATAGATCTGGAGGAAAAATTTATCTATCTTAAAGGACCTACATTAAGAAAATGTTGGAGATATATGGTATGGAAAACTCCAAACCAAGCCTTGCACCTATGTCTAAAGGTGGCAAATTAGATAAGTCTCAATCTCCGAGAAATGAGTTTGAAAGGGGGCAGATAAGAGCNTGGTATGGAAAACTCCAAACCAAGCCTTGCACCTATGTCTAAAGGTGGCAAATTAGGTAAGTCTCAATCTCCGAGAAATGAGTTTGAAAGGGGGCAGATAAGAACAAATCCTTATGCATCATTGGTTGAAACTTTAATACATACCCAAATTTGCACTAGATCAGATATTGCATTTGTAGTTGGTTTATTGGGTAGATTCCAAAGTGACCCAGGTTTGGATCACTGGAGAGTTGAGAAGAAGATGCTTAGATATCTGCAAGGAACATTGGATTACATGCTTATGTATGGAAAATCAAATTCTCTAGAGGTTGTCGAATATACAAATTCCGACTTTGCAAGATGCCCAGATAGCAAGAGACCAACATCAGGATATATATTTTTGCTTGCTAATGCTGCAGTCTCTTGGAAAAATACAAAACAAAAATTAACAGCAGCTCCTACTATGGAAANCTTTGCAAGATGCCCAGATAGCAAGAGACCAACATCAGGATATATATTTTTGCTTGTTAATGCTGCAGTCTCTTGGAAAAATACAAAACAAAAATTAACAGCAGCTCCTACTATGGAAACTAAGTTAGTTGCATGTTATAAGGTGATTACACAACCAATTTGGTTGACGAAATTTATCATTGAGCTAAAGGTTGTTGATTCTATTTCGAAGCCCATAAGGATGTTATGTGGGCAAGGTATCTAATGATAACAAGTACTTGGATATTAAATACCTTGTCATAAAGAAGATATGTGAAACCTTATGACCAAAATTATAGCTCTAGGATAATACAAAGATCATGTAGATGATACAGGTCTAGCGAACTATATTTTTGGTTAATGTATTATTTGTGCACTTTTGAAGACATTATCAATTTATTGAGACGAGTTAAACGTATCGGGGTGGGTCATTTTGTGTCAAGTTGATTTCAAGTTTGTGTCGAAAATCCTAAAACACGAATCTAACATGTTTAATAATCATGTCGAAATGTGTAAACACTAACTAGATCTGACCATTAAACGGATTACCTGAATCCAATTTGTTTAACCCGTTTAATAAATAGGTCGTTTTCAAGTTAACATACATAATATGACCTGTTTAACACACACAACACGACCAGTTTAACACACATATCTTGTTTTCACACCTGTTTATTACCATTAAATACATTATTTAATCATTCATCCAAAATTTCAAATAATATTTTCACCACTAACATATCACATCTCATTAATGAAATTAACTAAAATGCATTCAAGTTTTAACCCAAAAATTAAAGAAATAACTATACTAGTATACTGCCATAATAATGTTAAGAACTACACTGTCAATTACTATAGTAGAAGCAAGAATTAATAAGTAATAATGTTAATACTANAAAATGCATTCAAGTTTTAACCCAAAAATTAAAGAAATAACTATACTAGTATACTGTCATAATAATGTTAAGAACTATACTGTCAATTACTATAGTAGAAGCAAGAATTAATAAGTAATAATGTTAATACAAAATCAGTCATTGATAATAGGCAAACTATAATGCTATAAACGGGTTAAACGTCCATAATGGGTTACGTCGGGTTCGTGTCTAAATCATATTAACCGTTTAAAATATACGGGTTAATCAAGTCAAAATTAGGTTGACCTCCGACATGATTTTTTTTTTGCATTTAAGTGTGTTGACCCATTTAATTTCTTATCCAACCCATTAATTGTATCTTCGGTTCTTGTCGTGTTAATGTGTCGTGTCGAAAATTGAAATCCCTAAGTTTATTGCATCACATTTGTTATGTTATTCTACTTATAACATTTGTCACATGAATATAATATTAGCAATCAAACATTTGACCAACAAATTAATTTTATGAGAAATCCATTTATAAAGAAAATTAGCCAAAAGACTTGATTATAAGAGTTTGGTGATATTATGATCATAGAAGGTTATATGTTATATACTGGTGTATATCCGCCATGGTTCATATTACTATTCTTAGGTAATCAAGAATAAAGTTTAGGTCACTCATATTGAGATAATTTTGATAAGTGCGCATAACTCTACCAAATCCAAATATCTGCTTATTTCAAAAATATATTATTATTTTTATTATTTTGTTTAACTTTCCTTGTCAATATGGTCCAAATGGGAGAATGTTGGGACTTATTTGGTGGGACCCATAAGTGGACCACAATTTACAAGGTACAGAGTTAGGTTATGGGATAAGGATATCCTAATTAAAAGACCTAACCTATGTTGGTTTGGTTAGTGGGCAGTTTCCTTATAAAAGTGGAGTCCTAGATAAAGGAAACAGTTTAATTAATGATCAATTTCCCTAAAAGTTTTTTTTATGGAAGGGAAGTGAAACTGATTATTTTAAACTAAGGCATTTGGCTAAGAGTGAGGGAGATATTAGTTGCCAGAGAGACCCCATCTCCTATTCACGCTTACAGACATCTCACTCTTTGGAAAAACTATCTACAACCTATGGAAAATTAAGTTCGTGAATATGTTTGGTATATGATCCGATAAATGACCATTAGGTCTATCAATATGGCCTTATTAACATGTGGATAGCCACCACATATTTGAGTTCTGAGCATGCAGAAGTGGAAAAATACACATCCAAAATAAAAAGCTAAACAGACTCACCTGCCAATGGATCCTTCACAGAACACAAAGAATGAACCATCCTTGCTAAGTGACACACCATTAGAAAATTGGAGACCCCGAACAAGGACTGTGGTTTCTTTTGTATTTGGATTATATTTCAGGACCCTCCCACTGTCTTCTGCGGCGAAAACTAACTGCATAAAATTCCTGAAAACAAATATTGCGCAATGACTAAAAATAAAACTCAAATAGCAAAACACGATAGAAAAGCAGCTTGCAGTAGTAGAAAGTTGTTTATATCATAAGAGAAACTGAACTTGCAAATGGCTGCTCTCAGTCCATGCAGGCATCAAACAAAAGGCCTGCTAGACCAAACTACTTTATTATATCAAAACCCTGAAACAGTTTCATGTACCATAAAAAATCAAGGAGTTAAAGTGAAACGTTGGAAAGATAGCGATACTAACAACGTTGATCAGTACAAAAACTTTAAAAAAGAGATTTTCCAGACTGGGTGAGTAAATGTAAATTGTAATAGAGATCATCAACTGATTAGACTTTTCTCTTTTAATGTTGTTTTCTTTCCATCCTTCTTTCAAAATTCCTGATTACAACACTCTTGCATGAATCTAAATTCGATTCCTGGAAAAAACTGTGGAACAGCCTTTTGGAGACTATTCATCTTATTTAGTGCAAGGACATTAGTATCCTTTCTCAATAGCATTGTGTTTTTGCACTAACATTATGTGGAATTTAGTGGCCCTAACTGTACGACTTTCTTTTATATTAGGTAATCCCAGAAAATCACATTCTAGGGTTGTAATCCCACTATAAAGCAAACCTACCTCCTTTGATATTTGGTGCTGCTATCTGTAAAGTATATATTCCCTTCTTCATCGATATCCAGGTCGTTGGTGAACCTCAGAGGCACCCCTTCAGCTTCAGTTGCCAATGATGTTGCTAATCCACCTTCAGACCCAACCTTCATCAACCCAAAATAAGCATCTGCAATGTACAAATCACCTGTTTTCTTTTCAAATCGAAGTCCCAAAGGCCTGCCACATATGTGCTCATTTTTCAAGTAACTCAAAGCAGATGGTTTCGGGGCACAAATTTCTGACCTGAATTCCACATTGCAGATGGTATATGAGAAAAACTACAGCTATTTAGAAGAGGATCCTTGTAGAATTTTTCACAAAATCAAGAAAAACAAACACGACTCGGACCCTTTTCATATAATAGCAAGTAAATAAGCCCAATTATTCAGAATTAGGTGTGATCTTTTAAAGTCCAAATAACATTTGAAAAAGTTGATAGCATATAGTCTTCACTTTAAAACATTGCAACTAGCTATGTTAGCAATAGCATTTCTCAGAAAAGCAATAGATTGGATTTCCTTTCCTGTATTTTTCAAATAAATCATTTCTTTAGGAGCTTTTATTTCCTTAAGCATATGCATGCAGTTTATAAAACCCAAACATCACTGATTCAGCGTCAATGTATATGAGAAGTATAATATTCATGGGCCATATTAACACATATTTAAGCTGCAATATAATTCTAACATGTAAGCGGACATTGTTTATCCCCACTCCTTTTCCTCCTCAACCCTCTCTCAGCCTCGGATTCGCCTGCCCACCCACGCATGACCCTCACTCACTTAATGCCTCCAGATCTATTTCACTAGATGACTTCAATAAGCAACAATTAGTTTTAGTCGCCACTTTTAACACATCTTGCCAAACTCAGATGCTCACTTTCTTATCTTCCTTCCATTGATAAATTATATGTATGGACAACAGACCATCAAAAGAAAAAGAAAGGTGAAACACCTGCCAAACAGAAGTTATTGACAGTCGGCCAAAAAAAAATGCATCAGAATAACTTGGAAGAAAGTACTTTCAACATGTTTAGTTTGAATTGACCAATCAAGAAAAGTTATAAAGCCATGATTTTGCATCGACTGTTTATTCTCAATATTTAGGCCATCAATTTATTGATTTGATAAGCACATTCTAACTTATATCCCTTGCCATCCTAAATATACTGGGTGTTGGATATCACCTCAGTAGAGAAAGTACCAGCATCACTGAATATAATACTCATTTCATTTATAGTATTCTTTTCTTTTGAATACACGCTATTAATCCTTCATATTTCTTCCCTCCTGGTTGATTTAACACACAAAAAAACCTAGTCAAAAATAATTATCTCTCAACGACTAGCTAATATTTTTCAACAAAATACAATTAATTTGAATCATAATCAACAAAACATTGGATAAAGATCCATTCTTCTGTTATTTGTGATAAGCAGATAAGTAACAAACACACAATTGGATTGCTATTTTAAATGGGCTATTCTTGTAATAAACTCAATGAATGAAATTTCGGAAGTTTGGTGCTGACTGAAAAACAACGATGATACTGACAAATGACAAGATTCTAACATCCTCCTCCCTATTAACATAGTTGACCCTGATAAATAGGACCAATGTTTTGTGAGCTCAATTAAGTCAGGCTGAAATAAATTTAATGCAACTAAAAATAAGAACCACAGTGGAACCTAACCAAAACACCAAGAACTCAATACAATTGAACTCACACTACCCCCTAATATTTGTGGCCATGCCAATTAAAATGCATACGCAGGCCTTTTGGAGGATATCTTGCCTTCCATATTGTACCTCTTTCCTCANAAAACACCAAGAACTCAATACAATTGAACTCACACTACCCCCTAATATTTGTGGCCTTGCCAATTAAAATGCATACGCAGGCCTTTTGGAGGATATCTTGCCTTCCATATTGTACCTCTTTCCTTACTTCTCTTCCTTAATATTGTTTATAAAAATGCATCTGCAGGCAGGAAATTGCCAAAGACAATCAGGTTTTGTTTAACATTTTACGAAATTGAGTAACTAAATCCATCTTTCTAAGCTATTTTGTTAGAACATACAACATTGAGAGCTGCAACTCTAGCCAATTCATGGAACATTTCTAGAGTCTCTATTCCAGAGTCACCTCTACTGTGGATTGTTCAGAGTATGCAGAATCTTAAAAAGCAATGCTACTACAGTATAAATATGGTAATGTTGGGGGAAGATTATAAATAATGCCATTAGGGCTTTTACCACATTGTCTAATGAAAAGTGGTTAAAAATATTATTATAGACACAAGTTGGTCATCAGGTTATAAAATATCTCGTAAGAAATTCATAAGTGAGCATTGACTAAACATGCTCCATTTGCATTGGCTTCTGATGTTGGTAGTTGGTGCAGTCCTTTCTCTTCAATTCAGTGTAGTTACAGTAAGCTGTCCCAGGACCTCGATGACATCATAGGCAAAGGAAGTTCCCTAATTGTGTAGGAAAACCTCACCCAGGTTGGTGGCTGCCGAGATTTTCAAGCTTCCACCTTCTGAGATCACCAGGGCATTGGCTTATGGCAAGTGAGTATGTAATGAAAAAGTAATAAAGTATGCTGACATATTGTATATCAATTGGACTTAAACATAGATTTCAAATATTGAGATATATTTTAACAGTATTTCTTATTATAAATGAGAATCAATGCCAAATGCACAATTCTCTATTTTTAGGGCATATTGAAGTATTGATTTATAGAAACATCTTTTATATAGGTGGAACAGAAAAAATGTCATTACCCTATGTGGCCCCTATTAACCATTGGTACTCAGATGGATGGTTTGGACATGGAAAAAAATGGCTGCACTTAAGGCGAACACACAACTTTTCAGTAGTTAGCCTGAGGACTTTGATATTCTACGGTTAATTGCCAAGCAAGTATGAGGACGAAAAATTAAGGGAAGTAAGTGGGCATAATGGCTCTTTGTCCAGGCTTATTTTCTGTAACATTTAGCTTATTGCTGAAAATAAAAAAAAATTGTGAGTATGCTGCAGCTATTAAGCTCAAAATAAGCTAAAAAAGGCTTAAATAATCCATAATCCTTGTGCACCCCCAACGGGTTGCTCTTCCAATTGTAGTTTTTACAGAGGCACACGTCTGTACTACCAATGACACAATTCACTTTCTAAGATTCTCCCACCCAAAACAAAAAATCCAACCATGCCCTTGTATGAAACCATTTCAGCCCATGACCTCACATCCATTTGCTCTTCCCCGAACTTCCTCCCCTCTCTCTCTCTCCTGTCAATTCGCAAGCGATCATCTTCTAATCAACAATGAAGCTCGGCGATAACCCTTGGTGAGTTGGTGTATTGTGGTTACACATGGAATTTTTAATCCCCATATTTTTCCATTTAGTAATATTATGTGTAATTGGACAACGAAACATCAATATTGATCAAAATCATTAGTTTGGATGATGAAGTACCACTTAATCATCATAAATTTAGATTTTTCATTTTCATTTTGCAAATTTAGGGTTAATTTATGAATTCAGAAAGTTAGGTTTGGGGACCAACTGGGTTGGTCAAATTTATTGGATATTGTTATTGGTCACTATAGAGAGCGATATTAGCGCAATAGTATTCTTGGCTCCGGGTATGTAGGGCAACCCACCAAATAGCTGCCAAGCTAAGGGAGGAGGTTAGGGGACCAGAGTCGACAAGGTTAGGTTTATTTTATAAAGAATCAGCTCTTTGAATAAGCGGGGCTTGGCGAAAACCTTGTGCACCAGACAACCTTATTGTTAATTGTTAATGTCAAGGATGTCCCCTATAGAAATAGATACTCAGATTATGTCAGCTTGTATTGTTATGCAATTTTAGGATTTTATCTGTAAAAATATTCTATTTAGGGCATTAGTCAAGTCCTTTGAGTTCGGAATACATATAGCTTTTGGATTTGGATAGGAATAAGGATTGTTTTGGGGGACAATACATTATTGTTGTTTTCCATCTTATAGTATTGTATTGCTTGTACATGGGATGATAGTCCATCTTTGTAGCCTTCGAAAGTCTTTTCTCGGATTGGGGTCAAAATTATCTTATAGCTAGAGAACATGTGAAACTGCAAGGTCAGACCGAGATAAAAGAAAGTGAAATTACATGTAAAAGCAGCTTTTTATGATGATAAGTATTCTTTGGAGGGTCAAATTGAAATTTTCTTACAATTGGTGAAATCTTGGTTTTATTTTTCATCAACGTACAAGCATCTGTTTGTATGTGTACTTGTGCTTAAATGGTGGGATATTTATGGAGTTTCTCTCACTGTTTGCTTTAACTCTGCAACAGTTAGATTCCAAAGTTGTTTGTTCTCTAGATTCTTCTCTTACTCATCCATATACGTATAGAACATTAACTTTTTGACCAGTGCGTGATATTTTTTCTTTTGCCTGCGGATTTTGAGCATAAAGATTCCACTGACCTGTAAAAAGTGAACCTAACCCTTGGAGATGCAATAATACATCTAAGAAATTATTCCATCGAAAATACTCCCTTCGGGATCGTCATCAAAATTATACTTGTTCCACCGGGGGTGTTTCCTTAGTATATCAGTTGCTCTTAGAAGCATGGGAGCAGCTCGGTATTCTCCCTATAAAGCTCCCAAGACATCGGCGTTGCTAACCAAACGTAGCCTTACAAAAGGGGGCTGCAATTCTGCCCTCCGCAATGTAAGTGCCACCCCTGGTAAATCTTTTTTTTAACAAGTAGCTCTCACAATTTGCTATTTGTTGGCACTTTACTCATCCTACTCCAAGAATACTGCTCAATTTCTAATATTCTCTGGTCCTTTGGAGAGTGTGCATGTTCAGCGTTGTTGCCTTTATGCAGATGGCACTCAACTTACCCTAAGTCAAGGATTGGAACGTGGATTGTTGCTTCTTTGAGAAACTGAAGAAAGTTGTGTTTATAATGGGCTGAGTTGAAGAAAACTGAAGCTGCTGGTGATGATACTGTGTACTCGATTTTGCTGCTACCATTTCAAGATTAATTTTTTCAGTGTTGATTCCAATTGCTGTAACTTCTTCTAATGTCCAAAAGCAATTGTCTAGGTGGATGTCTACTTGGTACCAAGTTAAGGGTACCAGATATTGGGAGGCTCTGACAGTATTCTTTTGTGGTCTCATACACAGGTGGTTTTGGTCCCTTTACTGCTCGTCCAAAACTTAATTTCTTTACACTTCCTCTACTGATACAATTAACAATAAGATTTTGGCCAAACCTGTTCCAGCAATGTAAAATGTTGTTCTTTGGACAATATAAAATAGAAACAAGAAGGAAACCAAAAAAAATGTATAAAGATCCTAAAAGCATATGAATGTGCAATAGGAAAACTAGAACCACTGCCATTCGCTAAATCTTACCAAGTGAACAGAGAACCCATAGACCAATACTACTTGGTTTATTTGGGGTGTAAAACAAGAATGGTCATCTTACACTTAAAAAGTAGAGAACCATGGCATATTCTCCAATTGATGATGTAAGTGAACTGGATGAAAGGAGAAGTTATATTGGCAACAAATTTAGTCACAAAAGAAAAATACTTAAAATTATGCAATCACATCTTAATTCTACATCTCATATTTCAGAAACTTGTAGTCACAATAATAGGAGAAATGAAATATGTTGTTTATTACCAGTGTCCATGTCAAAAAAATGGGAAAAAGAAACTTCGTCAGTTATTTCAGTTAAATAAATTTATCCTAATGCTTCAAAGGGGGAAATAAAAAAAAATAAAAAGAAAGAAGGAAACTCTACCTTAGTAACGACCTTCCATAAACCAAACTCATATCTCAAAACTCAAGTTTCTAGTCGAATACATTCACGTTCCTCCGTCTACACAAGTCAATTACATAGAAAATAGAGCTACATACACTATCTTAAGATAAATTTTCAACACAACATTCCATCAATAAATACCCACCATCCAAAACTCGAGTACAAAGCTAATATACCAAGTTTCAGCTAAAATTTTCAACACCCTACAGTAAAAACACACAAATTTCAGCCAAAAACTAATCATATAAATATCAGGAAACTCACCGATTGGCTGAAGTATACGCGAAATCAGTCCATTTCTCACCATTCCAGAACACAATCCTACCATCAGCAACCCCAGTGTAAGGTCCACGGCCTTGAGGATCAAAGACCATGCTTTCGGGCCCTTGGACCTGGTTCAGAAACTTAATTTCCGACTTTTGTAAAAGATTTTCACTGTCCCTTTCCACTGGCACATCGGACCATGGAGCCATGTCCACCTTGTAGGCCTCGAAGTCCGGGAAGTCGGAAATTGGGCTGTGCTTAAAAGGGTCAACTCCACAGTAAATAGCTAAGAGAAGGAAGAGTCCCCCAAGGATTCCGATGGGTGACATTGCCGGAAAACTAGAGGTCCTCGGTGAGTGAATTAGTGGGTGTAGTGGATAGACTCTGAAGTAGTTGAGAGGTTTGGACTTTGTGAACCCTATCTCTGTGCGTTTCTTTCAGCGTTAACTACCAAACAACTACCTTCAGTTTGTTGTGACNTTTGGACTTTGTGAACCCTATCTCTGTGCGTTTCTTTCAGCGTTAACTACCAAACACCTACCTTCAGTTTGTTGTGACTGTACAGTGTGCAGCTCCGAAGCTGCCCTTCCATAGAGAGAGANTTCAGCGTTAACTACCAAACAACTACCTTCAGTTTGTTGTGACTGTACAGTGTGCAGCTCCGAAGCTGCCCTTCTATAGAGAGAGAGAGAGAGAGAGAGGGAGAGAGGCTTTGGATGAATCTCCAAGATTTTGTTTTCTCGTGGAGGGTTAGGATTGGGTACGTACGCTGTTACGTAAGTTGGTAATGGCCAATGAAGTATGGTCATTTGATGTGATTATTATGTATGATCAAAAAAAATATGATTATTATGAGAGTAAATTACACTTTACCCTATTAAACAATTACCTTTATTTCACTTTATACTCTCAACTATAAATTTTTTTATATTACACATTAAAATATCAATTTTATTTCATATTACTCCAATAATTAATGACAAGCTTAAAATTTTTGTCAACGAAGGGAGGGAAACCCCAAATAGCTTCCCGCTAAGTGTCTAGTACCAATTTATGTTTACATCTTTTGCAACCAAATGGTTGTTAGGAAGAAAAAAAAGGTCGGCGAAAGAAAGAAAATTTAAAATTTAAGAATGACAAAATTATAGATGAATATTTTTCTTAATTTTTGACCCATACATATACAATAGATAATTGTTTATTGATAGTAAAGACCATTGACATGCACATTTATGGTCAAAAAATTGACAACTGTTATCTATTGGAAGAAATTTTATAGTGGAGGGTACAAAGTGAAATAAAGAAAATAATTTGAGGTGATAAGTATAATTTACCCTTATTATGACTAAAAGCTAATCTCATTTTGCACCTTGAGAGATGTTTTATTTTTTAATTTGTACCCTCAATATTATGAATTAATAGTAATATGGATTTAATCTTACTATCGCTCAATTTTTCATTATAAATTAAAAAATGTGAATTGCAAGTACTTCAGGCTTTATGTGTAAATTCATCAACTATTGACGTTTTATGTGAATTGGATATGATATGGTTAACTTTTAGTTGATTAATGAAACCCTATTTTTAATACACAAAACGGTGCAAAATTAATCACATAGTGATGAATATACCTCATTCTTATGCTTGAAGTACTTGCACCTCATGGATTTCAATTTATATAAAAAAAACTGAACGACAATTTAGGTTAGGTCCACATTGCTATCAATTCATAATATTAAGACTGTAAATTAATTTTTTTAATGTTTGAGAGTACAAATTAAGAATCAAAATATCTTTCAAGTGCAAAGTTAGATTAACCCTGTGACTAATCACAACATTTCCAAGTCAAAGAATTTCATTTGTGAAATACATTTCTATACTTCAAAATTTTAAAATATGATGGGGAAAATCAACCTTCTTCAGACTTGATATTCATTTTGAAAATAAGGACAGGTTACATATGCTTCATAGTCAAATTGCTACAAGTATTCACCAAACCAATCTAGAAAGGTAGGCAAAAGATAACCCATATAGCATGTTATCTTATGGATCTAGATAGAGGGCATTAAAAAAATAAATGGATAACAGTCTGAGGGCTTTGGTTACAAAAGGGCTTGAAAATATTTAGAACATGCATTATGGAGGAAAGATACTTTTTGTGGGATGCTTTCAGATGCCATTCGCCAAAGCATGATTGTGTGTCTTTCATGTATAGGTGAATGCCAAAGTTTTGTCCAACCTTTTGGCTCAAGATATGTGCTATTGGTCTTTTTCAGTTCTATGCAGTTGTATATAGATCTTGTGTCAAATTGACCTATTTTACTGGGGATCCATGCCGTTGATCATCTCCTGGGAAAGTTGGAAGCTTTTCTTGAGAATTGATTGTACTGTTGTGGAAAAAAAACTTANTCATGTATAGGTGAATGCCAAAGTTTTGTCCAACCTTTTGGCTCAAGATATGTGCTGTTGGTCTTTTTCAGTTCTATGCAGTTGTATATAGATCTTGTGTCAAATTGACCTATTTTACTGGGGATCCATGCCGTTGGTCATCTCCTGGGAAAGTTGGAAGCTTTTCTTGAGAATTGATTGTACTGTTGTGGAAAAAAAACTCAGACAAAAGAGCTTCTTTCCATTCATTCCTTTGGTTATCAATCAGGTTGTACTGTTGTGAAAAAAAACTCAGACAAAAGGTCTTCTTTCCATTCATTCCTTTGGTTATCAATCAGGTCAACAACTAGTGTTGGAAGACGGTCCATGTCTTGATCAGGCTGCACTGGAAAATAAAGCCCGGCCTTTTGTCGTCAAGTTTTTAGAAGATCCTATAATTTTAGATATATTATCATAACACATGAGTAATTGATTAATATAATTATATTGTTGTAAAGCTTGATATAAGGAGGGAGAGAATAAGGAGAGAAAGAGTAACGACGAGAGAAAATAGAGGGGAGAGAGATGAAAAAATCAAATCAAATCAAATATTTACACATTTGAAAAGAAAATAAACTATCAATGGAAGAGAGAGGAAAAAAATTGGGGGATATATAAAGAGAATAACGGAGAGAAAGAGAGAGTGAAAGAGTAATGGAGAGAAAGGGAGAGAGAATAATGGAATAATGAAATGACATTTTAGACTTTTTCCAAAAAAATGCAATTAGAGCCAAATAAGTTTCCTCAATTTATTTTATCTCAAATAAGTCTAAATTTAAGATCAACATAGATGCAGCAGTGGCTCAAAGAACTGCTAGGGTGGCAGCAATTGCAAGGAACTCAAAAGGTGAGGTATTTTGCATCCATACTTGCAGAAGCGTATCCTGCAGAGGATACCGAGGCTTTAGCGGCTAGACATGCAACAATCTGGCCAAAATCAACAGCGTGGAACTATGTCACCTTTGAAGGGGATAACCAAACAATGATCCACTCAGTCATGCTCCCACATGTAACATCACATTGGTCCATCCACAACATCATCCAAGACATAAAGATTCAACTTGCTGAGCAATGGGGTTGGTCCATGGTCCAAACTAGAAGAGAAGCAAATGGCGCTGCACACGAATTGGCTAAGTGAGGTATGGCAATGAAGTACACAGGTTCTCTCGTGGCGGGTGCGATCCTGCAAAACAGTCAAAGGCTCACTCCAAGAGGATCTCATGGACAACGGAGTAACGTGACCAAGGAAGGGCAATGGTTCAATTTGTTTATTATTTCCTTTCTAGTTAATTTCTTTACTTGTACTTAACTATTTTGCTCAGCCAAAAAAATAAAATATAGCATGTTATCACTTTAGGAAACTCAAGTATGGCCCATAATGTGGGTCCAATTCAATACCATATCTTCACTTTTAGGTTAACAAAAACATGATAGATGCGAGTTTTCTTACGATGTTATTTTACTTTATTTTATTTTTTGTACAAGCAATATAAAAATATGTTAAATTAGGATAACTGTCTACTATTCACTTTTTGGTCCAATACTAATTGTTTCAAAGAGTGTCGTACTCTTTTGCAAATAACACACATCATATAATCGAACTTTTCTACTTTCCAAAAGATCATATCAACCAATTCTAGAAAGTCGTATGAATACTTAATACACTTAATTCCTAATTATCTCCTTAGTGGGAGTCTAATTTACACGGAATGCCAAATATGTCATAAAGGATTGGAAAATTGGGAGACCAAAGTGGTCTTTCTAGTGTAATCATCTCTATTTGTCAATTTATTTATAATTTTTAATGGAATTTGTCACACCCCGACCTAGAGAACATTATGTCCAAATCTGCTAGAGGGGACTCCTCTCCCAAATACACACTTATACCTTGTACATATGAATTTTCAATTAAAAAAAATAGTAATTTAAATTGATTAGTTACAATAGTATAACTTTACTCCCTTTATATCCTAACCATTCTTTTACATGAAATAATACCTATACAACCTTACTTTAGTACAATGCATAGCTCTCTAATTACAAAACTCAGTAACTATACAAAATGTCCTCACAAGACACAGGAAACCTTTTTCCTCTTATACTGGCTAGACTCAGCAGTGGACATCCCATTTGGACATCCCACTTGTCTTTATTTACCAGAAAAACATATACTAAAGGGGGTGAGTATACACGCTCAGTGAGTGTATATAAGCAATCAACAACAATAACTGTAATAACAGATAATGCATACACAATTATTATATTCCCAATCAACTAAACCACACTTTAAATAGTTAGATATAAGCTTCTTTATCTCTTTAGTAATCTTACAATACGCCATTACCAGCATTCCATTAAAGTTATATCAATACTTGTCCCTCAACCGATCTTGCCTTGTAGACCACATTTGCCACACATGCTACATATTTTTCATTTTGACAATATTGGCCCTACTAGCTATATAACTGTTATTAATGAATTATTTAGCAATAAGGTTACTCTTAGTAATCATACACTATATAGTAATCACAATCCTATCATAACCAACAAGACAAATCACACAGCTAATTATTTACGACAAACAACACAAGCCTTTAAGGCACCATCATTCAACAATTCATTCATATGCATTTATAAGTTCTTTCACCCAATCACATATCAACTCACTCAATAGTCTTCAACCATGCCAATAATATGATAAAGTTTTTTTACCGTTCCAATCACAAGCAATAAGCCACCTCATTACACAAATTCATAACATATAAAGTAAATTTTAACTAATCTCATACACACAAAAAATACACCCATCTCAAGTCCCGATATCGCATAATCTCCGTCGTCAAATAAAATCTTAAGCATTTCTGTCGTACGAGTCGACACATCCATTCCAACCACACATTAT